AATAATAATAATAATAATAATAATAATAATAATAATAATAATAATAATAATATCCTTATCACAGTCAGCCAGATGTTCAGACTGGGTCTGGCATTCTTGCCTACCTATCGAGTCCTTACCAAGGATATGGGATAGGCAAATCTGGATGTTTGATGGTGTTACGGATATCACTGCAGGATGGAAGCTGTTCCAAGCAAACCTGCCTTCTGCAATTGACTGATGGCAAATTTGTCAATGCCTACTATTATTATTATTATTATCATTATTATCATTATTATCATTATTATCATTATCATCATCATCATCACCGTATACTCAAAAATGTGAAGTCACAGCTGCTGCTGCTTCAGCTGGCATTGGCTTTCATACACAACAGTTCTTCTCCTCAAGAACCTGGGATGCTGTAATGGCATTGTGTCTGTTGTTATCATTTTAACCTACAGTTTAAGGAGAAAGTAGTGCCACATAAAGAGCAACAGTGAGCTTATTTTGATAAAACCTGTTCAGTTAGGAAAATTGCTATCAGACACCTCTGGATATTTTATTTTTGGAGCCACAGAGCCATGTTTGTCAACCTGGAAGGTGTGGGCTTCGGTGCTTGGAAATCCCCAGCCGGCATTCTGGGACTTGAAGTCTTCATTCATGCTGACCGGGGAATTCTGGGACCTGAAGTCCACACACCTTTAGTGTTGAGAAACACTGCTTTGGAGTAGAGAAAGCAGGAAAATGCGTTTGAAGACCTTGAAGAGCTGACCTGGAGAGGGGCCGCCTGCCTCCCTTGGCTCAATCTGCTCAAGCAAAGGCTGGACCCCCAGGGGGCTTCTCCTTGGGCTCCCACCCTGAGGGGGAGGGGTCAGTCCGGGGAAGGGCTCTGCTCAGCGTCCGGCGCATCCTTCCACTCGCTCAGAGCAAGGCAAGCAGAAGGATTGTCCCCCAAGCACAGCTCCCATCGCAAGGCCAGATGGAGACGGGAACGTGACTCCCGCCTGCCTGCGTAATCTGCCTTCTCGCTTTGCTTCCTCCCTTTCCTCCGAGGCTCCGGCTGCCTTGCTGGGGGGACGGGAACCAGGCTCTGTTGGCTTAAATCAGTTCCAGTTGGCCTGGCAGGATGATTCGGGCAGCAATTATTTTGTGGTGAATTAGCAGCAGCAGCGGGAAGGCAGTGAGAGAGTCGGAGGCTGCCTTAATCAGGGGACCTGTTTCTGCCTTGAACCCCCAGGGGCCTCACTCGAGACGAAGCACCATTTCGTTCTGGGTAATCAAGCCCCTGCTCCAACCCCTGCTCAAGGCAGCGCTCTTCGTACCGTCTTGGACAAATGGTTGTCCAATCTTTTCTTGAAAACTTTAACGAGGGTTCAAGGAAGTTGGGAAGTTACGAAGAAGAAGAAAGGGACACTTGTGCAGGTCAGGTCAGGCTGCCATCTTGAAGCGTAAGAAGAAAAAGGAATCCTGTGCTAAGAGTTGCAGTAGTAGTCCCCCTAGGCTGTGGCTGTGCTTGCCTCTCTGTGTGTGCCTGTGTGTGTTTGTGTATGCGTGCGCATGCACACCTGTATATAAAAAAGATGTTGAGACTCTAGAAAAAGTGCAGAGAAGAGCCACAAAGACAATGAGGGGACTGGAGGCTAAAACATATGAAGGATGGTTGCAGGAACTGGGCCTGGCTAGTCTAGGGAAGAGAAGGACCAGAGGAGACAGGAGAGCAGTCTTCCAGTATTTGAGGGGCTGCCAGAGAAAGAAGGAGGACAACCTATTTTCCAAGAAGGCCAGAGAAGGAATAATGGGTGGAAACTGAACAAGGAGAGATTCAACCTGGAAATAAGGAGGCATTTCCTGATAGTGAGAACCATCAACTGATGGAACAGAAGTTGCCTTTGGAAGTTGTGGGAGCTTCATCACTGGAGGCTTTCAAGAAGAGACTGGACTACCATTTGTCAGAAATGGTGTAGGATCTCCTGCTTGGGTAGGAGGGTCGGACTAGATGACCTCCAACGTCCCTTCCAACTCTGTTAATCTACTCTGTACGTGTGTATAAACCTGAACATCAAAGCTGAGCCCATCTACTCCTGCTCCAGTCAATGGCCTTTGCTATTTATGCCCTCTTGGTCACCAGGCCCTGCGCTCTGTTCTATTAGCAGCTCTTTTTCTATCAAGCATAGAATTAAAAGGCTGGACGGGAACTTGGAGGTCTTCTAGTCCAACCCCTGCTCAAGGCAGCGCTCTTCGTACCGTCTTGGACAAATGGTTGTCCAATCTTTTCTTGAAAACTTTAACGATGGTTCAAGGATCAGCTGTAAAAAAAAAAAAAAAGAGCAACCAGTGCTGTAGACAATCTTTAGCTCGGTGGCAACTTTAAGATGTGTGGACTTCAACTCCCAGAATTCATGGGAGTCTGGGAAATTCTGGGAGTTAAAGTCTTAAAGTTGCCAATGTTGAGAAACATGGCATTGGCTATTTGTCAAGTATTTATGAGTATATTTCTCCAGGCTCACTGGAGAAAAATATTTTCCACTCTTTCTTCAGGGAGGCCGTCCAAGATTCTTCGTGTGGTTCACAGCCGTAAATGTTCCCGTCCTGGGAATATTTCAGGTCATGAGTCAGTCTGAATCCGGAGCTGGTTGCTTTGATTCCGAGCCAAGCTGAGAACATACATTGTTCTCCATTTATCCCGCTTGAACTGATGTGCCGAGAATGTTGGTTGCATAAAAGTGTGCAGAAAAAAAAGGATGCCGAATCTATTTAAATTAGGAAATTCAGACTGAAAAATATAACCATGAGAAACAGCAGATCTGTGCAATTTTAGGTCTACAGGAGTTTATTTTAAGTGCTGTGACCTCCTGACACGAACGTATAACAAGCCTAATATTTTACACGCTTTGTTTCAGTAGGAAGTCTGGATGTGAAAATACTCATTTTTCTTCTGTACATGCAGACTCCGTACAGGCCTCCTCCAGCAGTGGTAAAACGGGGTGGGCACGGCGGGGGTTGGCGCTGCCTGGCATGGCTGGCTGCCCCTTTGGAGACCTCCATTGTTTCTGTGCCCTTTTGGACACAGGCCAAGCTGCATGGAGCCCCACCCCCACCCCACCGGCGCATGCTCCTCCTCCACCCCATGGGGGGCCACTTGTGCACATCCCGTAGCGTCCAGACGGTGCGGCTGGAGTCTGGGTTTGGATGGGGGGGGGCTTTACTGTAACCGCCTTCTGCACATTCTGCCTTGTGTCCTCAGTGGGCGGCCATGTAGACTTTGATGACTTCGTGGAACTGATGGGGCCCAAGCTGCTGGCGGAGACAGCTGACATGATTGGGGTCAAGGAGCTGCGGGATGCCTTCAGGGAGGTGAGAAACCATTTCCAAAATTGGCCTCGTGTTTCTTTTCTTCCTCCCCGTGGGAGGCTTGTGTTGTTCTGCCTTCTTCTTGGGGGCCCCCAAAAGTCTCTTTCCCTGATTCTCCTGGTGGTGGTTTTTTTCCCCTTAGTTGATGGTTGGACATAATGGAGGTGCTGCTGCTGTTCTCCTTGTGTTCTTTCCCATCGCTGCTTCTTGTGATGACCCAAAGGGGCGTGGCACAAAGGCAACACAGTCAGATAATCAGATAAACCCTTTATTATCTCCAACTTTGCCCCCAGTGTCCAGGTTACCCTCTGGCTGGAGAAAAACTCTCCCAGGAACAGCCTTTGACTGCAGAAAATTCAGTCCAAAACAGGGTAAACACAAATTGTAACTTAAAGTCCAATCAAGCCAAACTGAAGTAATTAGTTTGGCAGGGCAGGAGCAAGAATTTCAGACTTGAAAGCACGGCAAAACTCACATGGTTGGGAAGACACCATGAACATGGATAAGCAATGACAACATAGGATAAAGTCACGTTTGCTCCCAGCCTGCATTTCTTTTAAGCTTTCTTCCCAGCTGTGCCTAATGAAGGGAATCAGGGCCCTTTCCTTCCCCCTATGCCACACAACCTATGTTGCTCTCTTCTCCGTTCCTCCCTGCCTGCCCTAGTATCAAGAGGGGGTGTGCCTGGTTCTATCTCTCCCTTGTTCTACCTCTCCCTTGTTCTACCTCTCCCCTGCTCTGCCCAGCCGGACTTTGCCCTTCCCCATCCTCCTCCACAGCCAATGGAACGACACTTCCGCTCCCTGTCTGTTGTTCATTTTCCTCCTCGGATTCAGACTCTGACAGGGGCATGACACTTCTTCCCTAGTTGGAGTAGGTGTGCTTCTCAAAAAATTGCTTTGTGGCACGTGGAATATGTGAGTCGTACCTGCCTGCTGGCTCTTGAGAACAGGGAGTTGATAGAAATTGCTGGAGACAGGTGTCAGGTTCACTTTCCTGCACACGCCAAAGCACTTTCTGGAGACTGCATCTGAAGAGCTATGCAGGCCTACTTTCCAGCTGCCAAAGCTGCTGCTCTGAAGATGAGAAGAATTCCCTCCTAATCCCTCCACTGGGAATGGCCTCGTCTTGGTTGTTGTTGTAAATCACAAGTGCAATTCACACTTGCATGTACTTGCATTTCACGCTGCTGTTTGTTCTGAGCAAGGCTTCCTAGACCGTAATTATGCACACGCTTATTTTAAAAACAAATCTAATTTTATTGCAACGCTGGGAATTGTTTTCATTTCCAGCCGGTAATTCATCTCAAACAGTTCCTTGAGATAAGCACCCACCTTTCTTTTCTGTGAAATGCTGCCAATAACAGAAGTGTCAAATGAACTAGAAAAAGAAACCAACCGAAGTAGAAATAGCTTCAAGAATGAATCTGAACCGAATGAACAACCTTGCTTCCTGCAAAGGTTTCGTCATCTTTGTCTGTCCTTTATCCCTTATAGGAGGGGCAATCACCTCCCAGCCTTACTCCCGAGTTGCCCCTTTTGTTTAAGCTGCTCTTGCCTTCTAGCAGCTCTGTGCACACGTGCACTGGGAACAGGCTCCCCTTGTTCCTCTGCCTTGCTGCTGCCAGATTCTGGGGGCTCCAGAGGCAGCACCCTGCTCCCAGATGGTCCTGGCTCCATCCCTGCATCAGATGCAGGACCCTTGTCCCAGTCCTCTCCAGACTCCTGGACTGGTCCCCATTCTTCCCCCCTGTCCAATTCCGCTGCCGTCTGCACTGGCTGCTGACAAACCACAACACTGTTGACCAACATGCTTTCTCAAAGCTTGAGGTGTAAAATCAAAGTGTTGTCATGCATGGGCTCAGTTGGGCAAAGGGTGCAGCTTTGGGAGGCCCACGGAAAGCCTTCGAGGAACCACCAACCAACTCTGTGGTCCTTCCTGGTGTGCTTTTGTGCAGTTTGACACCAACGGAGATGGAGAAATCAGCACCAACGAACTGCGAGAAGCTATGAGGAAGCTCCTCGGGCAGCAAGTGGGACACCGAGACATAGAGGACATCATACGGGATGTTGACCTGAATGGAGATGGGCGAGTGGACTTTGAAGGTGAGCGGAGGGAGGGTAGGATGGCCTGTCCACTAGCCACAGAGTGGGAAGCAGCCATGGAGCTGGCTGGGAGACCTGGCTGCTTGGGGAGGGCCTCTTTCCTCTTTCCTTGTAGAGGCTCTTAATCAGAGGTCCCCAAACTTGGCAACTTTAAGACTTGTGGACTTCAATTCTGGGAATTCTGGGAGTTGAAGTCCACAAATCTTAAAGTTGCCAAGTTTGGGAACCCCTACTCTTAATAAAGGCTCAGCATGGGTCTACAGGCTATACAGTTCCTCTCACTGTGTGAAAATGGCGGGGATGATCTGCACACACACACACACACAGAGACACACAGACACAGACACACACACACACTGTCCCCCAGCCTCTAAAGGAGAGCAGAAAGGGACCTCCGGCCATCTCCCATCCATCACCCCTGACTTTAATAGGTTAGGAAAAAGGAAAGTGCCTGGCTGTAAGAGGCGCCTGTACCTGTTGCAGCCCAAGGACGGGGGGGGGCGGGGAGCCGGGAGGGGGGGGGGGGGGGGGGGGGCTTCTTCCCACCCCCAACTCCAACGGGTCTCTAGCCACAACCAGGGAGGTTCTTCCGTTTTTGATTTGGGGCAGCTGAGCCAGGAGAAAATGGGCTTTGCTAGCGAAGAAGGACGGCTCAAGCCTCCCCTGGAAACGCCCTTAAGGTGCCTTCTGACTGGCTAATCCAGTTACTTGTGGCATTTCCAAGTAATTTAAAATGGACATTTTATTTAGAAAGCAAAAAATAAAAAAAAATGGCAGACTTCCCACTTCTGTAGAACCACCTCCAATTATACAGACTGCAGAAGGACAGAGTTGGAAGGGGCCTTGAAGGCCTTCTAGTCCAACCCCCTACTCAGGCAGGGGGTCCTCTACCATTTCAGGCAAATGGCTGACCAGCCTCTTCTTAAAAATGTCCCGTGTTGGAGGATTCGCATCTTCTGAAGGCAAGTTGTTCCGCTGGTTAATTGTTCTGTCAGGAAATTGAGACTGAACAAAATTGAAGAAATTGTGAGCTGAACTTGGGGAAGGTATGAAAGAACTATTAAAGGGAGAAGGAAAGAAGGAAAGGGGAGGGGAAGAGAAGGGAGGAAAAGGAAGGGGGCAGAGGCCGGAGGAGGGAAGGGAAGGGCTGTTTAGATGAAAGATGGATGAGACCGTGACACAGAAGGAAGCATAAGAAGCTCAAGCCGGTACAAGAAAGAACAACGAGATACCTGAACAGCCTTTCGAGATTCTGTTATTTAATCCCAAACCCCACAATAGTAAAGAAGCATCCATTTATTTGCATAATCTCTTTTTTCAGTTATTTTACAGTTACGAGTCCATTTTTGTTGGGCAGCTATAATCAAACCAATAAAGCAATCAATGCATGCATCCCCCTCACCCTCGGTTTCTTGACCTGGCCTGTCTGATGCACATCTTGAAAAGCCGCCCAAGTTTCTCTCTGTCCCTTCGTATACTCAGCAAAGTCAACTATTTTGATTTTCTTTTTCCTGCTTTCTTCTGATTCTGGGCATATAACCCCTTTTCCACGCCTTCTCTGGGTGGCTCTTTCAAACCTTCCCCTAAATTCCTTTACAGAAATGCTCTCTGTTTCTGGAAAACTGCTGTAAATCTGGATCAGTAATGAGACTGAAATCAGTGTTAAGATGCGTGGACTTCCAACTGCAAAGCCGGTGGGGAAATTCTGGGATTTGAAGTCCAGCATCTTAACCAGGGGTGGGATTCAAAAATGTTTTTTTACTACCGGTTCTGTGGGCGTGGCTTGGTAGGCATGGCAGGGAAAGGAGATTGCAAAATCCCCCTTCCCTCCCCACCCCACTAACCTGCTTTCCAGCTCCGTTCTCCTGGGCAGGGCAACCAAAGGAGACCCAGCTGGTCAGCTGGGACTCAGTGGGAGGCAGGGAATAGATGGGGTTGGTGGGGCCAGTCAGAGGTGGGATTGGCCGGTTCTCTGAACTACTCACAATTTCCGCTACCGGATCTCCAGAACCGGTCAGAACCGGCTGAATGCCCACCTCTGATCTTAACACTGCTAACTTTGAAAACCTCTGGCCTAGAAGGACCCACCCACAAGCAATGTCTCTCTGGCCTCCCCGCTTTTCTGCAGAGTTTGTCAGGATGATGTCTCGCTGAAGGCAGCTCTTGAGCTGAGCGGTGACCCAGCCCTGGAGGGTAGAAAAGGGCCACGCGTGGCGCGCCATGCTCTGAGCTCCTATGCAATGCCGGCTGCCCCATCGACGGTGTGCCGCAGTGACCTGCCTCACTCCTCCACCTGGCCTGATGCTCCTTCCCACTCCACACTGTGAATGATTCGCGGTCTCCTGCATTCGAAGCGCTGCCAGGAGAGGTGACCTCAAGCAGGTGGGCAGCAGCCACAGAGGGCTGGACGTCATCGAGGCCTCCTTTTCCAACTGCTTTTGCTCTTCCAGCCAACCCTGCAAAGTGACGAGAATGTGGGGGGCTGGATGCAGGGGCCCCCGGGACCAGTGCCTGATGTGGACTGTGCTGTCTGGACTTCCGTTCCTTGGCCAAGGCGCCTTGTGCGAATGCCTCCTTCCATCTCCTCTGTGTCGCCTTGATTTTTGCCTCTGGAATGTTTTTCTGTCTCCCTTCAGTCCTGTTAAGGGGCACCGATATGTGTTTGCGCAGAAAAAGAAATAATATTGAGCAAATACTCTCTGCGAGGCTGGCTCTTATTCGCCCAGGGATGGTGGGGTCGTGGAGGGCCAACTAGGGGTCAAGGCCTGCAACTCTGTTAATGGGGGCTGTTAAGAGCCCCCCCAAAACGCTGGAGCAATAATAGAACAGAATTCTGTATTAGCCAAGTGTGATTGGACATACAAGGAATTTGTCTCCGGGGCATAAGCTCACAGTGTACAGGCAAAACAATGATAAATCATTATCATAATCATAAAATACATTCATCATAAATCATAAGATACAACACTCAGGGATAATCATAGGATCCTAAATAAATAATCAACATAAATCATAAGATACAAACAACTGATAGTCATAAGATGTTTCTGTTTTAAATTTGGGGCCAGCCTATTGCTGTGCCAGAATGGTTTTTTCTTCATCCTGATTGGTTGGGAGTCTTGGTCTGTGTTTATTGGTCTTGGAGTTTGCTGCGTTCTGCTTGATTGGTGTTTCTAATATCTTCTGTCTGTTTTGTGGCTCTTTTTGTGTCTTGATTGGCTGGCAACATTGTGTTTCCTGTATTGGAGGCTTTTAGTGCAGCTTGGCTTCAAGTAAAAGGACGGCCATCATTTATAGGAAGCTAGGTTTCATCTGGGTGCCTGGTTGGGGTGTGTTTGAGCTGGAGGTATCGGGGGGGGGGGGATCTGTTTGTGCCCAGGTGTTTGCTTAGCTTGTGGTGTGGAGATTTTTTTGTTTGAGAGTGCAGGCTTCCAGATAATTGACAGCCTGGTGGAGTCATCTCTTCTATTCATGCTTTCAGGTCTTTTTTCAATCTCTATGGCTTCTCTGATAATTCTGTAGCTGGGGTTTTCTATAGTGGCTAGGGTTTTGGTGCCATTCAAGTCGATGCTATGACCTGTGGCTTTCATGTGTTGGAGTAGTGAGGAAGCGTGTTCCAGCTTTTTTACCGCATTTTTGTGTTCATCTAGGCGGGTATTTATTCTTCTATTGGTCTGTCCAATGTATGTGGCTGGGCATGATGCACAGGGGACTTTGTATATGCCTTGGTTTTCCAGGTCAATTTTATCTTTAGGGTTTCTAAGGATGGCTGCTATTTTTCTGTCTGTTTTGAAGGCAGTCTTGATGTGATGCCTGTGTAGTATCTTACTGATTTTGTCTGAAGTACCTCTTATGTAGGGCAGGACAGCTGTTCCATAGGTCTGTTCGAGTGTCTCCGCCGGGCTCCGGTTGCAGGAAGGAGTCCTGGCTGGCCACGCATGGCTGCACCAAACGCCGCAGCGTTGCACTAAATGCCGCGGTAGCACAGGGAGAAGGGAAAGCAACGGTGGCAGAAGGTCTCCCAATACGAAGTGCCCCACCAACACCGAGGTCAACATCCAAGCTGTCGCCGCTCGCCCACCCGAGGATGCAAGGGGGGGGGGGAATTAAGTCATCCCTGAAAAGATGGTCTAGCCATTTTTTTCGGGTGTCAAAAAAAAAAAAAGGCCCGGCCTTATTTTGTGAGAAACACGGTATATATATTTCTTCCAGATGTTTCATAAACTAGGTAACATCATCCATGCTAGCCTGACTATCGTAGTACTGACTAGCACTAATGTCATTCCCTACTTTGGGTCATGAAACGTGTGCAAGGAAACAGCCCAGCTCAGAGAACACCAAGGAGGACCCCTCATAGCTGGAGATGCCAAGCGCTGCCCATGGGAGGCGATCCTTGTCCATTGGCACGGCCACCTTGCCATAATGAAGGCAACCCCTTTTCAAGGGGAAGGACGACTAGTGCGTGGTGCACCAGAGGCCACCTGTGAATGTTGCAGCTCTGCAGAATATTTGGGTGCGCCCAGGAGCCCAGCAGCTTCTCTTCAGTTGCCTTTGGGGTTTAGTGAACAGGCGAAGGATTGGGCCTCTGCCCCTCTTGATACTGTTGGAGGCATCCCACATCTCCTGCTGGCACAAAGCTTCAGGCTGCTCTTGCCTTAGGAGACAGGTAACGTTTACTTAGTTTACACTAGCCGGGTGTTTTTTCACCTGGGCAACTTAACCTGTGGACTTCAATTCCCAGAATTCCACAGCCATCATGCTTTCTGTGGAATTCTGGGAGTTGAAATCCACACATATTAAATCCCCCAAGATTGAGAAACGCTGCTCTGGACCCCCTGCACTTCACGAGCAAGGAAGAATGGCTCTTCTGGCCAAGTCTCAACTCTCCGGTGTCTTCTTTAAGCTCCAAACTTGCTGCCAGTCTCCCACCCCACCAATGGCTCAGAGGACTCAAAGGAAGGCAGCCCCTTGTCCCCTTGCCCAGAGGCACCCCTGGATCTTCCCCGCTCCTGCCCACAGGCCCTTCCCCTTCCTCCTTCTGCAAGGAAGAAGGGGGCCAGGGAAGCTGGCAGGAGGCAGAGCCCAGCTTGGTCTCTGGGTGTCAGCCAGGCTGAGGAGAATCAAGTCAAAAGATGAATACAGAATAACAGAGTTGGAAGGGACCTTGGAGGCCATCTAGTCCAACCGCCTGCCCAAGCAGGAGACCCTACTCCATTTCTGACAAAGGGTAGCCCAATCTCTTCTTGAAAGCCTCCAGGGACGAAACTCCCACAACTTCCGAAGTGGGCAGCCCGGAGCCACCTTGCCAATTTGCATCCAGCCACATGCATCATGCCAGCTGGTCTGCAAACCACACAATCTCATCTCACCCAAGAAGCCACATGGCAAGAAACAGACAACGCCCTGTCAACACCCCACACTCGCCTGCTGGCCATCCAAGGCCAAGACGGTGGCTGCAGCCCTGCAGTTGAAGCTGCCCATTTGCTGCCATCTTGACCTGGCTCCAGAGACGCCGGCTGCTGAAGGAAGAAGGCCAGGACTCTCCCCTGACTTGGCTGCCTGTAAATCTGATCCAGCTGGATGCCAGGCCCTAGAGGCGCATGCAATGGACAGGAAAACAGGTGGAGCTTTGATCACACAGGTGTGGCCACCATCTTGACTTTTTTTCACCAAACACTGCAGACCTCCTGGATGGAGCTATGCGGGTGGGACACGGTCAGCAATGTGGCTGCAGCAATTGGGTGCTCTTGAGCTTTTGGGCTCAGAGTAGTGGGCAACTCAGCTAGCGCATTGAAGAATCAAAACAGGCTTTTACAGGCAGGCAAAATTAAATTCGGCGAGGCGCAGCATCTTAAATAGCCAAGCAGGCTCATATCTAGTGAGGGTAGATAGACCAGGAAATCCACAGTGGTGCTAAGAAAACATGGTGGATCCATGCATCTATGAAGCAGTCAGGAGCACAGAAGACTTTGTCTTTATAAAAAGATTGCACTGTTCTGACCTAAGCTTCCCCAGAAGCATGAAGCCAACTCCACGTCCAGATTAACCCCTTTTTATTTAGTTTACAGTGAATTCTTTTCCAGCAAAGTCCCGGCCAACACTCTTTCAAGATATTTCACAATCACAGACCTTTATCAGGCTTGGCGAGTTGCCATGCTGATATCTTTCAAACGCCACACTGTAGCCGACAATACTTGGCAATAATGCAGGAACAGAATTTCACCCAAATGAACTAATTGCTTCCTGCAAAACTCCACTCCCCTTTCACTCCTCTTTTATTCCCTATGGGAGAGACTATTCACCGTCTACCTGTGGCTTTACTCAACCCTTGTTCCTCAGCTGTTCCCTTCTTCTGGCAGCTCTGCACATACGCACACTGGGAACAGGCTCCAGCTGTTCTTCTGCCCCACTGATCTCCGACTCCAAAGGCAGCTGATAACTGTCAGACGGCCCTGGCCCCATCTCTGCCTCTGACACAGAGCCCTTGTAAGAGCCTTCCCCAGACTCCAGGACTGGCCCATGTTCCTCGCCAACTTCCTCACTGTCTGAATCTGCTGCCAGCTCTGCTGGCAGGCCACAACATGCACATGCACAAACAAACACACACACACACACACACACACACACACACACACACACATCCCTATGATGCACTCGTGGATGTCTCAGTATAGTGCCTGCATAAGACCTTCAGCACACGAAATGCAATATTAATGGAGATTCGTAATGCTATCAGCAGGAATATCCTTCCTCTGGACAACTGAATACAAAACGAAATACTGAAATCACTCAGTATGACACATGATTAATTTAGATCAGTGTTTGTCAACCTCAGCCACATTGGGGTGTGCGGCTTTCAATTCCCACAATTTCCTAGCCAACAGTGGAGGTTGAAGAATTCTGGAAATAGAAGTAAAAGTGGCCCAGTTTGAGAAACAGATTTAGATGAACACTGAAGCTGATGGAAGACAAGGACATCCCCTGGCAGAATTTGGTGGTGGTTGGCTGAGAAGCAAGGTGTGTGTGTGTGTGTGTGTGTGTGTGTGTGTGTGTGGCTTTGATGGTGTTGCCATTAATAGGCGGGAGGCTCAGCCAAGGGGGTGACCACCATTCTGATCTCACATGCCTACAAAAGGAAAATCACAGCTTGTAGAGAGGTAGCTATGGAGGAACCCGGGAGTCTTTGTGCAGCGTGTTCACACAACATGCTAAACTGGAGTTGTAATCCCAGGCAAAGAGGACATGGCTAGGTTCAGGCTGTGTGCTAGACCCTTCAATAAGCTGATTATAGTTTCACCTGAAGGTCTGGTTTCCACAAGAGGCTGAACCCCAAAGATACAAACCCATTGGCTTCTTCTCCCACATTGTGTGGACCTCACTTGCCC